CCCCAAAACCCCAAAACCCCGTGAGGAAAGTATAATGAAAAATTTTTTAGTAAAATTAAAATAATCAAATATCATCAAATTAAAAGCTTATATTTTCTTCTGTATTGATAGAATTGGATTCTTTTCGACTCAAATCATTAAAGATCAATTTATTTTGTGAATCATATCCATAGTGAATTAAGAATTTTAAAGATGAGCATCCATCTGAGTTACTTCGAATAAACTTGGAATACCTGTATGACCGCAATTTACCCTTATTACATTTCCTGCCTCTTCTCTGTTTATCAATTAATTCTATATTTGTTTAAAAATTATCAGTTTTACCTTTTCTATGTTGACTAAATAATCAACAAACTAAGAAAAGACTTCTATTAAGACAGTAATATTTTTCAAAATAATAGCTTTTTAAGACTAGAGAGTTGCTTCATATTTTTCTATTTTATCGCTCATCTAATATAGCATATCTATTAGCTCATTTAATTTCATCTATATAGAATTTAAGCAAAATACTATAATAATTACAAACGATGATACAAATTTTTCTTAATTTGAAGGAATTATTTGATCTTTGATTATCGAACTATTTATATTATAAGAGCCAAAAATTGTGAAGAAATCGAAATAATCCTGAATCTCAAAATCTCTAATCATTTTATTGTAATTAACTACATCACTAAAAGTGTAGCATCCAGCCTACATTCTGCTAAATTAATTAATGACATTTGATAGCATCATATATACCTCTATATAGAAATCATCTATTTCTATTAAATCCTTATCATCCTAAATTTAAAGGAGATACAGTAAGTTATTGATATTTTAATGATTCATTTTAGTGTCACTATTCTCCTTAAACTTAATTTTGATTTAATTCATGTCGGAAACATATTAAATCTTAACTTCAGCATCATGATCTTTATTATCTTGAGGTGATATCTTGCATTATGTTATCACTGAAGAGGATAGGCTAGATTGTTTTAAATTTTCATTGTCATTATTGGCTACAGTTTCTGACAAACTTTTATCATATTGATTGATACTTTAATAATCAATTGTCTAGCTTAAAAAATATTCAAGATCTACAATGAATCTCAATGATTTAATAAATTGCTTCATTTTTAAGCCTCTATTATTCATAAGAAACTTAAATTGTGCATTTGATCTTAACAATAACTCCTTCGCTATACCTATCATCAGCGAAGAATTAATATCAATCACATCGTCTCTTTCATCAGCCAGTAATACCTTGTAGCATTTCTTGGCTTAATTCGATTTCTACAAGAAATTTTTCTCACTATGCATTGTCCATCCCCAACTACCCACTTTAAATAGAAATTTCGCCAATACTGAGTAAAATTTTCTCTCTGCGACTAAATCAAAATTACTTAAAGTTCTATCAGCATAAATAAAGTCTACTTAGCTTTGTAAGTATGAAGTAGGAATGCCTCCTAATGATCTTCCATAAACACCAAATTTACCTGTAATTCCCATTTAGTTTTTTAGATAGTTAAGTATTTATTCAGCATCCTAGTTGATATTTCTTAGAGATGGCTGTCCGGTACTCAATCCATATCCTCGATAGTTCCAAGTTAGAATATTTATAGATTTATTTAGAAAGTATCTGAGATAAAATGCATGGGGCTAATTGACCATATGCTAGTAGACCATAGCATTAGGACTACAGAGGATAAATGTTGGAAATCTCTTGTAAGTGGCATTAGGATCAGCATCATTTCTTTTAAGACTGTTCCCTGTAAAAAGCATACAATCCAATTTTGACTTTTTATCTGTTGTTTCCAAATAGAATTACTCTCCATCAAATGTACTCTAGAGAATTTTAGTCATCTAATAATGGGATCCAAAGATAGGATCATAAAATATACCAAAGTTCTTACGCGATTTACAACATCTCATAGGCAATCTACTTTGAGTACAAATCAATTTAAACTAGTTTAGCAGAGTCATCAAATGAAAAAGTTTTTATTCGTCATTTTATACTACTATTGGAAGTGTTCTAATTGGTAAAACTCCAGTATCAAAAGAAAAACTGTCTAAGCCTACTCTATCGAATTCATTTATTTTTTGATAGTAATCCCAAATACTATAAGTTTGCCCTTTCCTGGCTTAAATATTAATGTCTTTCTATAGTAGACTGATCTACATAAGTATTTATGTTGCTTTAATAATCAATTTTGACTCTTTTTACTTCTTCTTAATCGACTCATCTGAAACTTCTTTGTTCGCTTTTGCAAATATTTCAATTAGGTCAAGTATCTTGGTTAACTATCTGTTACATTCCTTATACTAATTATAATTAATTTCTTGATGCTCCTTGTGATTCATATATTTCACCAAGATGTTTTTATAAATTTCAACAAAATTAGACATCTCTTAAGTAAGCTTGCTAAAAAACGATAGTTAAAGAAAAACTTTAAAAGAATTTACTCGTTTTAGATAACAAGGTAAAATCTTTAGATATAGTAAATCGAAAACGGGAAAACTATCCATCTTGTCATGTACTTTCCAAATCCTAGAATAATTGCAAAATTTGCCTATAATCACATTAAGTAAATTACTACTGGCATAATGAATTACCAGTGGAAATAGCAAGAGTAAATATAAAAACTCATTAAGATAGACAACAAGTAAAATGTTCACTGCAACAATAACAATGCAAAATAAAATGACGAAAAATCTTATAAATATTAGTGTGAAAATACTTTACATTTGCCAAAAATAGAAATTAAAAGAACTGTCTTAAGTCTTCTATTACTCCATTTCACAATTAATTTACTTATAACTAGTTTTGAATTTCATGATTTCTATTAAATTATCCAAATTTGAATAAAGGGGTTTTGGGGTTTTGGGGTTTTGGGGTTTTGGGG